CGGTGCCACTGGTTTTCACAAGTTGACATTGGAAATCCTGCCCCCTCTTAATCTTCATTGACATTAAGGGAGAAGCTACATTTACAAGCATTGAAACATCAACCAAACTGTCACTACTCTCAAGTCCTTCTAATGTGAATCGATAAAGAGGAGATGTTCCACTGGGGCAGCCATGAGGGCACGTTGGTTGGGTTGTTGTTGTGTTTTTATTGTTTTTTAACCATAAGCACTTTTATGGTGTCAATCCTATTGTTGCGATACTTCAAGGAATGGAGTGAATGATCATCATTACCATCTCTCTCAAGAAGACAGAAAAACAAAAGGAGGGAGGGATTAATGGAAGATGTATTGACCTTACATGTGTTGTAGACTTAAGTTAATCTTCTCAAATTATTGAACTGTATACCTTATAAACACAAACATGCTTTAAAAAACACAAACATTCAAAGCAGACAGACTCTCCTGGCAACCCTGCAAACACATTATTACAAACAACAATACCATGTTATCGTCCCACCAGGATCAAAACCGAAACAAACCAACAAAAGGTTCGAAAATGTGTGAGATGATAATGTAAAAAAAACGACCTCTTTTGAATCCACCTTTGTCGGAATATTAAATCCTCAGCTACGTCAAAACACCGGAAAAAGCAGGGGCATATTTTCAGGTCTCTTGAAGATGTATGCACACGTTTTCATGCGTATCAAAACTGTCCCGATCCAGTCCTCGCTGCAGCAAGTCAGAACTCAGCCAGGGCTGTAATTTCTGCTGCCAAGGCGACGGATATCAGTAATAGCTACAGGGTACAACTTCATGCCACAAAGAGCTTCATCACCTGTGGCAACTTGGCAAGCAACTTGTGAGGCAGTCATGCAGGTTGCTCTCCAAACAGCTCTGTCAACACTGCACAACAAAAGAAGACTGATTAAAGTTGGGGGGCGTCTGCACACCTGTTCATGCTCTGATATCAAAAAGAATCTCTTGTTTCCATTCACAGGCTGAACATCTTTCAGAGTCTGTGGGAGTCATTAGGAGCAGTGGAGCACAGAGGAAACTGAATGGATGGTTCGTACACGCAGCTGAGTGATCTTCCCCGCTGTTTGAAGTGAGCTGATGGAGAACATGTGGGTCGGTTTCCACCTCCTGGAGTGAAGTCTTACCTTCAAACAGAATATCTGAGTGTGCACAGTGAGACAGAGGAGAAGTAACAGGGAGGACAATGAGCAGGCAAAGGATATGATGAGAAATTGGAGCAGAAGCTTGAATCATAAAGTTGTAATGGTTAGCTGGTTGGTTAAGGTGATGCTTTTTAAAGGCTTCTTGTTTATCTATGATGTGTTATCTTAATCTGAAATGTAACTGAGTTTCTTGCTAAGTACTAAGGTTGTATCTGTGACCCAATCATAGAGTGTATATTGGGGGAGACTCCAGCCACCATTTGTTGTAGGACTGCTGTTTTAATGCATTTCAAAGTTTTCAAAGCTTTGAATTTCAGCTGTCGCCACCTTGAATTTTTGTGCCAAAATGGTGATCATATTTGGGACATAACAGGGACGATAATGTATGTCAGACCGCTGATGCGATGTTTCATCCCTTACCTATTTGAAAGGAGCTGGATTCTGGTTATTTACGTCTGGTTTAACATTATCTGGCTTCTTTTTGCAACCAGTGCAGTCGCCTTCAGCTGGCTGTTAGAGAGAATGCAGGTTTAAGGCACTCGCATGGACTCACTATTGAATCAAGGGGATATGGATACAACCTGTGTGGACTCCTGACCCTCCAGTTGTTATTAACCCATATTGTGCTTTTGTGCGAGACAAGAGCTGTCAGGAGAATATGTGGTTAGTAACTTACATACTATAGATATGCTTTTTGGGTCTTCATTTCTGTTGTGTTTTAAAGTCTTTGGCGACAATATCGACTGTCTGTCAACATTCAAAACATTGACAGATTTACTCTGAGATGAACCCTTTTTGTAGAGTTGTACAGCGTAATTGGTTCCCTAGACGTAGAGTGTCAGATGAGTGACAGATAAAACACTGTAAATAACAAAATATCAACTCTGATCAAACTAAGTTGATGTAACTTCCAATGGGCCATGCATCTTCACTTAGACTGACTGCACTGTATGCAGAGAGACCTGGCAAGGAGCAACCTGCACCATTAGTGAGGAAAAAAACAAAAAAACAAAACAAAGCTATTACCCAGCTTCTCTCAGGGGTTGCCGTGCTCCTGTCACTGTAATGAAATGAAAACAAACAGTAACTGTAGCCCTCTGTGTGTGTGTGTGCGTGTGTGCGTGTGTGGGTGTGTGTGGGCGTGTGCGCGTGCGCGTGCGCGTGCGCGTGTGTGTGTGAGCAGACATACTATATGCTTGTGTGAATCTGCAGCTCTCTCGTCCTGCTATCAGTGGGGCAGTAACTTAGACAGTGTGAGTCAGTGTGTTTACTGTTTTCACAGATGGAGCTCTGACACTGTCTGGATAACTGAGATAAATGACTCGCACTACGGCTCAGCAGATGGGAAAAACAACAGCCAGTCACACACACACTTACACACAAACACATACTGGATATTACAAATGAAACACTTTATAAACTCTTAGATAACAGCAGAGCATAAAACTGCAGGACAAAGTAGCTTCTCGTTAGTGTAGAAACAAACACTCCTTACTGGTTCAATCATGCCTCTGACCGAAGCTAATACAGTGAGCGCTAATCTGTAATCAATTAACTGCAGTAGCTACTTTTGAGGTGTTGTCACATAATTCTTCTTTTATGTCATGGATTTTAAATTACTGTACAATGCCATAACTTTGTGTGTGTCCTGTGTGGGGGTCTTAAATCTCTAAAGTATATTTCTAAATCCTGTCAAGCTATCAAACTGAAACCTGTGTGCCATGTAGAGCAAGGGTTCCCAAATTCTTTGGCTCGGGACCCCCGAAATAAGGGTGGCAGAGACTGGGGACTCCCACTGTATCTGGAGCTGGTTGAACTATAACGCATAACACAGCTAAACCCACACTAATCCACTATCCAAACACTGGCAACATAAAACTACAACACAACAAACATACAATCATTGTACATAGTAATTGATTTAAGAAAGGCCAAAAGCAGAACACAAGTCATTTCCATGTATAGACTTTAGCATTGAATGGACAAACAGATCTTAATAGACACACAGGTGTGTTCATCTTTATGTGTTAAGATCAACAGACACCTACATCGTTGCTGTCATGTGAACACTTCTACAATTTTACTATTTATGTAGCAGACAACCCCCAGGACACCCTCACCTTTCTTATGAGCTATCATTTGCTGAAGTTCTGCCTTTTCAAAATTGCTGCTATCTCAACAAACACATTTTAGATGTCCACAAAGGTTAGTAGGCCTACATGAAAATAACACATTTATGTTGTTTTCAAAGCAAATGGTTGATATGTCTCATATACAAGAATGTTTTAACGAGCTTTAAACACTGTTTTTAAGGACCACCTAACTTTACTGTTTTTTCTCCTTCATGGTGGACATTGGTACTTACTTGATCTGTTTTAAATGAAAATCGTGGTGTCACAGGTGACAGGAATGTGACTGAGACAGAGAACATTGGAAAAAAGATTGGGGATCTAAACTCAGACTCTAGGCTTTCTCCTACATCTTTCCATCTATAAATGACCATCAGAGATGAATGTTGTTTAGTGAAGGCCACCACAGCAGGTGGGTTTAATGCAGCCCAGTGAGACCTGCTGCTCCTGCCCTTGATCATCAAGACAAATGCTGCCCTCATGTGGACAAAAAACACCTTAGCTGAGTGAAGCTAGGACTTAGCTCTTACGAAAGTGATTTTGTGATATTGATAAACTTCATGATATGACAAACATAGTCAATAACTTCAACTTAACATGATCAAACTGAAGTTTAATTTATTGTCAAACTTCAAACCGAAGTAAGCACAACCAAAAATGTCTTATTGGTTGCAAAGAAGGTGGAAGAATTTGATTTTTTTTTTTTTTAAACAGTTACTGAAAAACACAAAACAATTGAGGGGCAAAAAGAAGTTGAACGTCTTGAGCACATTTTGAGAGTTTTTTGGAAATCTATTTATTCCTCTTTATTTTGTTCAGAAATGATCTGTGGAAATATTCTTGTAATTTAAATCGACGCTTTTCATCTTTGAAAGCTCAAACAATGGATGGAAACAAACCAAACACCGGTGAGCATTTAGATGTGAAAACACTGCAAAAGTTTGCTTAACATTTGCATGTGAATTATGTACGTTCACCTCAGCTGACTGTCCACTTTTTCAGCTGACTCTCTTCCTCTCTGACCTCTCCCTTCAGAACTCAGTGGTGTGCATGGTATACATACAATAATTGATGGACAATATCCAGTAGTATGCTTCAATTTTCTTCCTATAGTGAAGGGATGACCCTCCCTAATCTGTCTCTAACTGGATAGTACACACTAACTTAATATGCCAGAGTCTTACAGGTCACTGTTTCTTACAGAGGCCGTTTATACTCTGCAGGACGGGCCACTTAAAAAACATCTGTACAGTATACCCACTTCTTTAGACACCACTGAAACGCTTTCAGAACCGGTACGTCAAGATACATTAATTATCTTGCTCACTTAAACTAATAATTCACACAACTGAAACTCTTAGCTTTTCCAATCATTTATGACTCTTCTTTACTGCATTATAAGCTGCTGCATCAGCATATTTCAGTTTCACATTTTAACTTAAAATGTTTTCAAAATGTTTTTTTTGTTTTGTTTTTAGCAGCAGCATTCATTTTCCCCATGAATTCTGTCCTTTTTTTCAGTAATAAAGGGTTTCTACTTGACCTAGATGTCTCAGGGAGACCACCTTCACTTAAAATCCAGGCATCGCAGGTTTACTTCTCTTAAACATTCAGCAAACTTGTTACTTTATTAAGAAGGTACTGAGTCATGTCTGTTCAGCAAGATACACACCAGCACACACTCTTATCAAAACACATTTGAAATATAATTTATTGCACATTTAAAGATCAACATAAAGTGGCACGATACCCATTTCAATCCTGTTACATTTGAAACAAAACAAAAGGACGAGAGAAGTCCTTACAAAATGCTCACACCTTCAGTTTAGGATCTTTGTTTTTGACACATGGCCGTGAAGTTGCAGGAATGCCAAACCCGAACTGCATAGATTCATAAAAAAATAACATGAAAAAAATAAAACAAGACTGAGACACTTCTTGAATATGGCACAGGATATCCAATCAGACCTTGGCGTTACTCATACTCGTCATGAGCCTGTCAAACTTCCACTTTGTCCTGGTGACTCACTGGCGGCTCAGTGCGTCACAACAAACAGGCTATTCCTCATTTGAGAAAGAGGAAAGCAATGAAGTTCTTGGAAATATTCATACGTCAAGTCCAATATTAAAATTGTCTTTTGCAGATATGATTTAATCTACTTTGTAAGTCTAATATTAAAAAAGAAAGCCTTCCTTACAGCTCTGTTTACAGAAGCATCTTATTATTCAAACATTTTGGAAGCAGGCGTGCATCACTTTAAAAAAAAATGGAGGAGCAATAAAAGAAAACTACAAAAAAAAAACAAATTACATGATCGTCACAGTCATTTGTTTAAGATACTATTTACATCTTTGTCCTCATTTTTCATGTCCTATCACAACCCAAACTCCTTTTTCCTTCTGGTTTCACATTTGTCCACATTAATGATTCATTTTGTCTCTGGGTGTTATTGAATTCACATCACTGGGTCTTATTTTGATGGTGTTTTTTCGGGCACAGACCATTTCTCTCACCGTTTCATGGCTCATTTATTTGTATTACTGGTTTCACTGTATTCATAAGTAACAATCTATCACTTTATATCTACTGTTGCTGCATTGACTACTTCATAAACTTCATACCTCATAAACTAAACCAGTGTGAAATGTGTGACACCCAACATAAATACTGTACCTGCCATTTGAAAGTGGCCAACATGATACAAAAACCGACCCTAAAGAGCTACAGTATGTACAGTATGACAGTGAGAACTGGCAGCAGTGGGTAAGAGATATATATATATTAAAAAAACAGTGTATGTTGATGGTACAAAAGTCTGTTTATGATGCCCTCTCCTTTCCTGAACCTTGACTAAAGTAAACATACATGTGTTGATGTATACAGTACAGCATAAATACAAACCCAGCTAATGGTCAAGAGAAGAACGGCACACAAGCATGCTAACTGGTCTTCAAATCTATTCTCGTAGTAAAGTCATAAACACAGTTTTATTAGGGTTACCTGATCAAAGTTTGACAGTTTAGTTAGGGCCGCCTGGTTGCATATTTTTTATTGACACAACAGCTGTGAAGTGAATGAAATCTGCAACAGGATCATGTGTCCTGTTTAGAGGGAAATCATGAAGTTTTTTCTAAAAACGAAAAAATTGCCTGTTTGAGACCTTAAAAACCCATTAAGCCCCTTGGATAATAAAACATTATATACATGGAGAGCAGTCAAGAAATGTGATTTGTTTGGCACAGAACAAAGGATTGTACACTCTTCAGTGTGTGATCACTTTTGTAGTCATATCAGCCTCTTAGTAGGTTACCCCGTTTATGCCTCTGAGGAAATGAGCTGATATCCATTAAAACTGCCACTATAAAGTGTGCTGATTATGATTAATGCAGCTTTCCAGATAAAATCAAGGTCAATAAAATGAACAAGCATTCAAACACTACCTGCATCAAGTTATTTTTAATAATCAAGGTTGGGTCCAGGTGGCTGTATGTGATGAATACAGCGAGAGAAAAGGAGGAAGGCCTCAAGTTTTTCTTGAATTCGCCTCATTTTCATTTTCAGTGTTACAGAATCTTCCTGGTGAGTACATTTACATCAGCACTACCTTGATAGTGGTTCTAACAACCTTACCTATATGGTGAACTAAAAACCTTCAATTACAGGACGCTTATTGTCCAAGTAAACATAAATAAAGATACAAAGTGGAGTTCCAGAGATGAGTTTTCCCGGAGACACTTTTAAAGAAGCAGCACTTGAGGAAAAACTAGGGGGAGATACTGAGAAAGAAAACTAGAGGAAGAGAAGCAGGAGGGACAGACTTTACTTTGGCACCTGAGCCACAGTGGCGGTGCTCTTCTGTGGGGATGAGAAAGGTACCAGACGAGGGTGAAGACTTGACAGAAGAGGGAAAGCGTCAGGGTTCGATAAACATCCGATTTGAAATATCCTCTCCTGACGTTCTCTCTTCGTCTGGAGGTTTATTCTTTCCCCCTCAATTCGCCTGATAATCCTGATTCGTATCCTGCCACGGCAGTTGCACCTTTCAGAAACATTTACCCGCAAATGTGTAATTCATCAAATCAAATCAGAGCCAGAGTAAGTCTAGCAGGAGTTCTACTTCACAGCCCGGTGCCTCACTCCTGCAGGGAAACCGTCAGTAAACAGTTGAGTGATTGCAGAAAGGAGGTTCTCCAGGTTCTTCTGTAGCAGTTCCTTTATGGCACATGATAACATCTACAGTTTCTATCTCGGTTTTACTTCTACAGAAGAAACTAAGGTTCCTCCCAGGTGAGTTTCACAGGCTCAGATCCTCCCACAGGTTCTCCTCTGAGGTCGGTTAGTGCAGATTGTTTTGTGTGGAGGTTTCCCTCTCCCCAGGTTTGGTTCTGTGTGGTTCTATAGGTTCTCCCCAGGCTGATACTGGGGTTCTGTGGAGGTGAAGTAGTCCTCAAGGAAGCCCTGCAGGTACTCAAACGTCGGCCTCTCCTCCGGGTCTTTCCTCCAGCAGGACAGCATGAGCTCGTGTAAGGAGCTGGGGCACTCGGACGGGCAGGGCATCCTGTAGCCGCGCTCCACCTGGTCCAGCACCTCGCGGTTGACCATACCTGACCGGAAACACAGGAGGTTCGATTTAGGGGGTAAAATACTTGGGTCCTTTTAAATGAAACTTATTTTTAAACATATAAAACTTAAAAGATAAAAGTATTAAAAAATACGTTTTGTGATTATACAGAAGCATGGCCATATTTCTCTTGTTTAGCTGCTCTTTTGCGGGCTGTTTGTCCATTTTAGAATTGACTTGAATTGTTTGTCTTGACTGCATAGTATGGCACCAAAATGTTGTCTACTGTAGATTTTTAAAAACTACTATCTGTAGTTTAAGTCCTGAAGACAACAGAAAGGCACCATAGGCTGAAAAAATCATTTTAGAATAGCTTACTTCACTTTCTTTTAAAATCATCTCTTATTGACTTATTTATATGTTTCACTTCTGAACTGTTCTAATTGTTATTTAAAAAAAAAAAGGGGGGGGGGTGCTGATTTTGTTGGTGGGCATGTGAAGTCCTCACCTGGATAGGGGACTCTGCCTTTAGTTGCCAGCTCTGTGAGCAGCACACCAAAGGACCAGACGTCAGATTTGATGGTGAATCGGCCGTACAGAGCGGCCTCCGGGGCTGTCCACTTGATCGGAAACTTAGCTCCTATGGAAACAAAAAGTTGTGTGAAAGAACAATAAAACAACATGTTTCCACTGTTCAGTCACACTATAAGGAATATAATAATCTACTGTGGAAAGAGGAAGCATGGACTTACCCTGTCTCGCTGTGTACTCATTGTCTTCAATGAGTCGTGCCAGACCAAAGTCGGCCACTTTACACACCAGACTGTCTCCCACCAGGATGTTCGCAGCCCGCAGGTCCCTGTGAACATAGTTCATCCTCTCCACGTAGGCCATGCCTGCAGCAATCTGCAGCAGGTGAGGAAGAGAGGTCAGGGATTGTATAAGACACACAAATATAAGTGTTAGTAATATGAGTGTGGGTGGATTATGAGTAATCTTACCTGCGCAGACATGTCGACCAGCTGAGGCAGACGAAGCATCTTTCCTGCGTCCCCTTTCAGGAAGTCCAGTAAACTACCTGTGAGTGCAAAACATCATGAATTGTAGATAATGCAACAATAAAAGACCAAGAAATATATGAGCAATCGTCTGTTGTTGTTGTTGTTGTTGTTGTTGTTGTTATTGTTGTAAATGAAATGGCAAATGCTTGTTAATAAATTCACTATAATAAGCAAGGTTACTGTGTGTACCGGTAATGTTTAAAATGTTTGAATACTAGTACTGATAAAAAAAAAAAACATACTTTAGTATAAAAACAATCCTTTTTTCTGGTTTTGATATCTTACAGTAATTAAAGTAGTAAAGGTTTATAACCCAGCATCTTCATGCATTACCTTGGCTCATATATTCAGTAACAATGTAGATTGGTTCCTCTGACACAACAGCGTACAGCTGCACCAGCTTCTCATGCCTCAGCTTCTTCATGACCTGGGCTTCCTGAAGAAAAGCCTCTGGAGACATGGTGCCGGGTTTCAAGGTCTTAATGGCTACCCGTGTGGTACCGTTCCACGTACCTGTCGCAAAATAATAGGATTGTATCACTTTTAATGATAGGACATTTCTGTCCTTAAAACACAGTTTAGATACATTTCTTACATTTCAAGGTGTTTGCACCAGTCCTCTCTGCATAGTGTGCTTGTGTGTGCGTTTGTGTGAGTGTGTGTGTTGTGTTTTTGTGTGTGTGAGTGTGTGTGTGTGTGTGTGTGCGTGTGTGTGTTTGTTTGTTTGTTTGTGTGAGAGGGGGCAGGTGTGTGTATCTTTAGGTTGGGTTTTGATTTTTGTTTGCTTCATATGTTTTCATCAAATACATGTTAAAAAAATATTTTACAATTTTTTAAATTAACTTTTGTAACGCTGCATCAGCAACCTATTAACTAGATATTTATAAAGACCTTCAGACAGCTGGCCTAAGAAACTGCACACATCATCACCTCTCTGCACACATTAACATCTTGTTTGTATTCACACTGTTAGCTAGCTGTTTCTGCTGCCTCTGCTGAGAGCTAAGAGTGCTAAAAGAATGAGTGGAGCCTAGATGTTTTATTCTCTTCCTGATCAAAAAAGGAAATTAGCTGATAAATATATTACCTATAATATCTCCTACAACTACTCACCTTATCAATGCACTCCTATTGTATTTTAGGGTCTAACCTGTCTATCTGGTATGTAGCAAGAGAGCATCAGTCCATAAAAAGAAAGAGACTTGGTGTGTATTTCTTACCCATCCAGACTTCTCCAAAGCAGCCCTGTCCCAGTTTGAGGTCGAGGCGGAGCGACTCTCTGGGAATCTCCCAGGCGTCTCTGGCCAGGCCCTGGGTCTGAGGTTTGGCCACAGGACATACTTCTGTCAGAGCGTGGCAAAGCCCATCAGAGTGCTCTGAAAGACAACAAAGTAAATGAGCAGGTGAAGGGCAACATTTTAAATCCCAGTTGACCATTAGAGGGCAGCTGTACTCACTGCGGTAGTGGAAGACTAGCTGTTGCAGGCTGGTGAACTGGGTGCGGGAGGTAATGTAGAAACCTCCGCTGTCCAGCTTCCTGATCTTGTAATGTTTAACATTCAGACCTTTGGTGTTGTCATAATCCAGCACTGAGAGGCAGTATGCTCCTGTGACCGAGACGAGACAACAGACAGAGACAGGTTAGAGCAGTTAAAGCAGGCGGGATCTGGGCCCGTGTGACAGCTGCTCTGTGGAGTTTCCCAACACAGCAGCTGTGCTGGGTGAGTCCCCGATGGCCCCTCAAAGGGCCCATGAAATGTGGCTACACCTTTCTGTCCTTGTCCATGGCCCACAACTAAGTACAGAATGACTTTATTGAATACAACAGAAATCATTTTCGGACTGTTTAGTATAGCTACCTTCCAGAAAATTAAACAAAAACACTATGAGGTCAAAATTACAACCAAAAACAAAATTCAAAACCTTAAAACTGTGGCATGAGTAAAAGACTGATTCAAATGGCTGAGCTGACTTAGCAAACCAAAGCTCCACAGGGAGGGTGTAACACAGTAAAGGAACATGAAAAATCAATGTCTTTGATGTGCAGTTTTACTGACTGATCCTCACTTGTCAGAAAGAAACCCATCTTCAAGACTGACACACTCCTTCTATGATTTTAGACAAAAAGTAACCAAAGGGATGGCTAATTGAACCGATCATAGGAATACGATTGCAGTAGTTTAACCCTGGGACCTCTCCTAACCTTCATGCTGAAACCGACATGTATCAAACTAAAGAAAACCAGAACATAATGCTATCATGATCTGCGTTAAAAGAAAGAAAACAAGATATAGATTTAGAAAAGTTTTCAACTTGTGTACATCTAGCCTGAGAGGTTAAAAATGATAAGATGTATCGCCATCAGTCTGGCATGATTTACACTTCATGTGCAGCAAGCTTCTGCTCCTCTGTGTCAAAATCTGAACCTCACATTTGACATGTGATACAAATGCAGCCAGAGGCCAACTCACCTCCTGCCAGAGCTCCTCCTTCTCTCCCCAATCCTCCCCCTTTCCTACAAGTCTCCCCCTCTTCATGCCTCTCCTCCCATCTTTCAGTCAGTGTGTGTGTGTGTGTGTGTGTGTGTGTGTGTGCGTATGCTTGGAGAACAGAGACTTATAGCCACAGGGAAATCCAGCACCCTCCTAGGTTGACCTAGTTCTGGCAGAGTGATTCACCCCTATCCATTCACCAGCTTCACTCCACTGAGCTCTTTTCCCATTTCTTCCCCACTTCCTCCAAAACAGCCCCCCTGAAGAGCCAGACCACGTCACAGGGACTGAGATCTAACGGTTTCAGAGATCTAGATCCAGTGCCACGGGCCTGAGTGAAAGTTAACAAATGACTTAATTACGAGCTGCTTCCTCCATCACATTGAGTCCCTGAAGATTGACTTCACTCAAAGGAAGTTCGCACTTGCTGCACAGAGTAAACTCCAGGGACACAGTGAAGGCGTCATCACCTCTTTTTTCACACGTTTTAGAGACACGGCGACTGTAAAATAAAAAGCTTTTATAAAATGTGTTCTCTAGTCACATTTTTTTCTGACAAGAAAACATGCAGCTCCTGACATCCGGGTGAACCTCCAGAAGGTATGACTCAAAATCTCTGTCTCTCTGTCTGTTGTTTTCATATTGAAGTGAGTTTGTGCTGTAGTTTGTCTCTGGAAATGTGCTGCACTGATTTGAATGTGAAGCTGTTATTCTTAGCCTCCGCATTCCAGCGGACCATACACAAAATGTGCAGGTCAAGCTGTAAGTTATGCTTACTTTTTAACATTGATTAATCTTTCAATGACTTTGCAACTGACTTGTGACATTTAATGTGTGAAATATCATTAATAAAAAGGGTGAAGTGCTCTCAAAGTGCAGGCTGACATCTTCACATTTCTTGTATAATTATAAAGAAAAGGGAGAACAGTTCATTTTTTTTATTTGAGAACCTGTGACTGATAAATTTGTGCATTTTTTCTTGAAAAAAAATACAATCAAATGTATTATCTGTTGATTGTTCCGGCTGTCTGTTCAGACCTCGAGGCTTAGTCAAGGTTATTCGATGTATATACAACTATATTGTACATTTATATTTAAGTGCAATCAGTCTGCATTTTAATCAAAGGAAGGTAGGTATTCATCTGTAGAGACTAACCACAGAATAACCCGAGAGACCCAGATTTTAAAACATCATAAGAAACAGACGGGGAGAAAAGCAGGATATCTAATTGGACCGTCTTGATAACAACTGTAGCCTCTGAAGTGATGCAGACGTCTGCTCTCTCTCACCTTTCGTGGTCTCGCTCTCTCTCACCAGGAACGTTCCTCGTCTGTTCTGTAAGTTCAAAAGGAGCCTCTCTGAGTCGCGTCGAGTGATCCTCCCAAAATACCACCTGTCAAAGTGGGCCACAGAGAATGAGATCAGTGTGAAGCTACGACTGAGCGATGGGAGCAGGCAGGCAGGCTTTTTCACAGGAAATAGAGAAGGCTGCACTGGAAGGTATGTATGGATTTACTGTCTCTATACTATTTGTATTATCTTGTAGTTATAGAAACAGTAGAGTATATTGCTTGATTCGGGCTTTTCAGCTAAGAAAAAAGCCTCAAAAACTGCAGGAGGAAAGGATTTCTGTACTCTTCTGCTTGGATGGAGTCAGAAGGAGCCACGTAGTTGCTTGGGATGTATCCGCTCTCTCCTGTCGTCAGAGAGCGAGCGAGCCACCAGTCCCCTTCTCTGTTAAAGAAAGAGAAAAAGCGAGCGAGCGAGAGAGAGAGAGAGAGAGAGAGAGAGAGAGAGAGAGAGAGAGAGAGAGAGGAAGAGTCAACCATGAACAGAAAACGCAGCGCTGCAATGATAGCATGTATTACTGTTGTGATTTTTTAGCTAATCTTGTATTACTAAACATCATAATTGATGTAAGAATAACGCTTAAAAGAATACGAACGGAGGGAATATATATTGTTTCTATTGCATCAAATGCCTTGAATAACCAAATAAAACAATCTTATCTACACTGTGAACTAATAGAGATTCATTTAAAACATATTTATGAAGTTCCAAGTTGAAAAGGGCATCCTTTACAAAAACAGTCATGTGCTGTAGTTTACAGCAAGAGTATTACATGCATTAGTTAGGATCTATTTTTAACTGTGGATGAATATATTTTGTGCTATAGGATGTGTTTACACCTTAAGGAAGTTGTATGCTTGAATGACTCAGTATAAACTGCAGTGTTTATGTTCATCATAATGAAGATTGGTTCAGTAGATACACTTAATGTCAGCAGAGACAAAACCTGCTACAAAAAATACATGTTGTTTTGGTCTTTTCATTGTCATTAAGACAAAAACATGAACCAGAGTATCCATTAAATACAACATCATCATCACCACAGGGTGTGACAGATTGTGTCAGAGTGAAATCATGGACTTCATATACAAGTTTAACTTCCACATTGTTTGACATATGGCTCGTAAAGAGGAAACCTGAAAGGCTGTGGTTTAAAAACAATCATCCCATCCCACACTAAAATGCAAAGAGTAATACGTAAGAGAGGAAACAGGCAGACACAGGCAACCTTTTGTTCCACTTTTAATATCCCTCTGTACATTTTAAAGTTTTACATTTAGCTTCATATCCAGAAACATTCAAAATGTTACCCGAGCAGGTTAGAGCAGCAATTCACTCAAATGTTTTACTTATTTATCACAGTTACACTACGAGCCGAATCAAACACATCCAAGCAGCGGCAGAGGGAGTGTGAACAAAAGGTTGCGTGAGGTTTTTATTGCATTAAGTATTACTGACCTGAAGCTGTACTTTTTCCTAGGAGAAACCATGAAGCATGAGAAGGAAAGAGAGAGAGAGGGAGAGATAACAGACACAGCAGACACATCAAAAACACAAAGTGAGGAGATGCAGCAAGGCGAGCAGCAACAGACAGACAGACAGACAAACAGACACACAGACAGACACACAGACAGACACACACACACACAGACACACAGACAGACACACAGACATACACACAGACAGACACACACACACACAGACAGACAGACAGACAGACACACACACAGACAGACAGATAGCAGAGGAGCTGATAATGCTCTGGGACTACACAGTGGGGTTGGCATGAACTTTTGTGCTTTTAATGTTTTAAGCTTCAATGCACATTTCAGTGCATGCTGTATTAGTTTAAATAATTGTGGGAATGCATCCTATTAAAAATCCATAAATGATCCGAGCAGCATAGAGGGATCATGTGGGACTCACTTCAGATACAGCCTCACTACTTTTAAGTCAGTATTTGCTTTCAAAATAAGAATGCTGAATACTGTTTTGAAATATAGATACCATAACTGTGTCATTGTGCAATATTAACAACGCATGCATTAATAATATTCACGAGCTCTGCTGTGTAGTGCCAGACTCTGAAGAACAGCAGACCACACTTACTGCAGGAAGTCATGGAAAGAGCTCAGAGGGAAAGAAAAGGCTACTGTTTCGATTTCAAACACGTGAATTAGGCTGCAGATGCCTTTACTTAGAAACATCTTTAAAATAAACTTTTCACAGCTATTAAACACTAAGTTGTATCTATCTTAAATGACATAAAATCACAGACAAACTTCAAAGTCAAAGCAGATTTTGCAGGTGTTATGAGGACATTTGAGTGCAGCGACAGGCTCTCTATGAAGAGAATGAAGATGACAGACACCCAACAGGAACAGATTGCATTAGTAAAGAGCCGCTCTGCTTCGTTTTAGTGAACAGATGGAGAAGATTTGACTCTGTTGTCTGCATGGCTCCACAGTTACCAGCTCTGTCTGTGTTCATTCATGTCGCCGTTTGTGTGACTACAAATCTGCTCGGTTAGGTGTTATGTTAGGTTGTGGCATCACAGAGAAAGAGAAGGATGACAGTTTCTTCTTACGTGTTGTTGACAATCTGCAACCTGTCGCCTTTCCTAAAGGTCAGATCAGACGCTGTCCGTGACTCATAGTCATACAGCGCTACAAATGTAGTGACGCCTCCTGTAAGAAATGACGCACACACAGAAATATACAGAGTGAGGGAACAATGTAATTAAACCTCCCCTTCTTAAACCTTATTCACATTTACTTCCGTAATGTTTCTTCAATAATACAGGGCCGGCTCTTGATTATAATTCGCTCAATCCGCTGTGCGGCTATAAATCTTATTATGTTTCCTCTGCTCCATATCCAAATCAAACAATTTATCAAGGCCTAATGAGAAGTATCGACATTCAGGCTGCTCATGACCGACCGTCCGTGAAGGACAAAGCCGTTACACCTATCTCTTTCTATTTTCTGTGCAGCTTTCCCCTCCTTCTATTTAATAAACCTGTGATCTACACCTAGGAACTCTCCAGACCAAACATCGATCGAGTCATTAGACGCACAGGTGGAGGCGGCCAGCAGAGAGGGTACACCAGCAGCTCTCTGCTGTCTGGAAGGAAGGAGTGACATTAACCCAACCATCTGGCCAGCCTAGACACATTACAGCTTAATGTGGAGTCAAGTCTGGACAGTGGGCTGTGACGGGGATCAAGGAAAAAGAATATTTGAAAGCTGATGTTGGGAAAAGAAAACAGTGTAAACAAAATATCTCCGAAACTATCACTCACTGTGGATCTGTTTTTAAACAAGTTTTTTTCTTTTTGCTCTTAGACTGAAGTTTGAATCTTATCTGTGGGGAGTTCTGCTCAGCTTCAAAACTTTATTTACACTCAAAAAAGAAATCCTTTTTTGTAGACTACTCTGGGCAATGTCTGGTCGTTGTGCATGCAATATAACTGCAACTCTACTTCAAAACAGTCTTTCTGATTTCTTGCTGATCTGTTTTTTCCATCTTAATTGTCTTTTTAATGTATTGGAGCCTGGAGACTTTTGCATTACTTCAGACAAAGACTGGATAGAACTAACCAAAAAATCTGCCAACCAACACTTTTAAAATGCACTCATTAATACAGAGTGTTCAGGGCTGATTCTTTTCCAGGCTCAGTAATTTTCTGTAGTTTTGTCACTATGAGGACGCTTTAAGTCATCGATAGTCTGTTTATGCCCTGAATATCTGAAACGTGTCATTTCAATCTTGTATGAATTCAACTATAAGATTTCATTACCGAGTTTTAAACATAGACTTTATAAAACACAGACCTAGTCTCAGTTAAGTCACCAACTGCTTTCTGAAGAGGCGTTTTAAAGACTAACATGGAAGTGGCCATTTGGGAAATGCCACCTCCAACTTTTGATCAATCTAGAGAGGCTGAGTTGAGGCATTCCTTCAGCCTCCTGGTGAGAAGCTACAACATGCCCACCTGTCAGTTTAATCAGACACATCCACATCTAGGCAAATGTATGCATAACTCTACATGAAATTTAAATGAATGAGTTATAGAAAACAAATCAGAGTTTGAAGCAGGCTATAAACATGTTTATTTCTGCTGTAAAAATGGGTGTTTTGATAAAGGCTCTAATGGAGATGCCTTGGTTTTAAAGTAAGACTCAAGTGAACATTTGGGAACTGCAGTTTTTTGCTTTGGTTTCATTTTTCAACAGTGGAAGTTTCTCCTTGTTTGAAGAATCTAGGTGGATTTTCTTCCCCCTGCACAGAAAATTAAAGAGTTTACACTCTTTGTGCTAAGCTAACCAGCTGCTGGCTGATGCACATTACATTAGGCATACAGACATGACTGTGGTTTCATTGTTCTCATCTTAGTCCCTTTAAATGGAAAATAGGAGTACCTTAACTGCTTAAAGGAAAACTTCAGAACAAAATGACAATAAGTCAGAGTCATCATCTCAACAGTAAGACTCAACAATAGAATGTTGTCTTTGCTATTCAAAGATGTCATTGATCACTGACATCTGAAATATTTCAGGACTTTCCTGTGACCTACCTGACAGAGGCCCTCTCTGAGGTGAGGTGATGGTGCCTGTGTGGTCCACCCCTCCAAACAGAGCCAGCTCAGGTGTGTTTGTTGGGGCGTGCTGGTGCCCTTGATGTCCCCGCCTGCCTGTCCCTACTGCAGGGCTCCTGTTGGGGGTTTGGGTCTGCTGGGCGGGGCCCAGGTGGTGGAAGTGCCCGCTGTCTGAGCCTGTGCCGATGGTGCCGTCCAGGCTCATGGAACGCTGGCCCGGCTCCTTGGGCTTGCTCTTGCCCGCCCCCATGTGCAGACCTGGGAAGTGAGCCAAGTGATGAGTAAGAGTGCAGTACTTTTCTGTCCCAAGAGGGATCTCTGGGTTGTAGTCTCCATCTCTTGTTTTAAATAAAATAGGGCTGAAAGAATTTTTCACTCCGTCAGTCAACAGAACTGCCTCTGATTAATCAACCAAAAGCATTACAAGACACATTTAGTTACATTTTAAAGACTAAACAATAAAACTATCAATCATAAAAAAGTCACAGATTGAGCGATAATGAAGTTAGTTAGCCTCACTGCCAAATATGGAATATTCACATCTTTATCCTCTTTTGATTTTAAAAATGAGTCAAATCGTATGGAGAGGTGCATTTCATTTAACTTTGAATTGTGGTGAGAGGACTCAACTCATCTCTGAAACAGTGGAAAGTTTCATTTTATCGATGTCTGTGTAGGTTCTCAGTAGTCCAGGTCACAGTAATTCAAAGCTTGATCCAAAGGCAACTGGACACGGTTGAAGATCTTAAAGACGTTTCACCTCTCCTCATGCTAAAGTGTTCATTGGCATGCTAATGATCTACAGAGGCTCCGCCCACCAGTTAGTTTAGAACTGAAAAAGCCTTTTGTAGGAGAGTTGGAAACATCTTCAAAATCTTTAACCAAACCTAGTTACCTTTGGATCAAGCTTCAAATTCATTTTGTAGATCAACTCTGACCCCCACAATTTGTTACCCATCAGGAAAAAAGATGTTAAACCAGCCAGATATTATTTTGATTACATTTTGTTTGAAATTAGGAAGTTAATTTCTAAGGCAGTATGGTGTTAATTTCTAAGCACATGTAATAATTACTGTCATGAGAAACAAATTGTGTCTAACTCCAGATGATTTAATCCATCCTGTCAGAAGATGGAAGCTGTTCATTCAGGAACAGGAAATGACCCTGTTTCTGTTCATTCACCTTTCTCAAACTAAATAATCTTTTCTGCAGCGTGTGCTGTGAGCTTTCATCTCGCCTCTCCTAATCCAACACAGAGCATCCTTGGAGCTGTTCCAGGTTCAGTTAGAGCCGTTTAGCATGCAAATACTCTGCGAACAGGACACCTTGAAACCGTCAACACGCATTCAAGGTCATTCCTATCTGTTGATTCAATCTGTGCTGAATCAATACACATCTGCAAGGAAAACACCGCTCCAAACAGAGCACAGGTGTAATGAAACCAAGGGCTTATACTGTGGAGGTTACAGGGACAGAAACAGTTTGATCTCCGACAGGTAATCACACTTCTCCTTTCCATCCTGGTCCTGAAATTTGCAGGTGAGCTCGACAAAAGCACGCTGTCATCATGAGTGCAGACGAAGACAAACATGTTGAGACCGTCAGGAGCACCCATAGAAAGTTTGAGTGCCGTTCATACACCGAGTCTGACCATCCCTCGAGTCATTTTCGAGTGACTCACAGTGAGACCGGCTATTTCAGTCCAACTGAAACAGAGACAGTCATACACTCATGAAACAGCCTTGTTCCTCTGTGAATACAGGCACTCTCAGTTCTAGACAGTATGTGTAGGTGTTGTTGGTGTGTGTGTGTGTGTGCGTGTGAGCAGCTGTTCCTTGGGTCTCTGGGAAACAAGGCTCTATCGCACACTAACACCCAGCACACAGTGTCGTCTCACATCCCCTTTTCCAACACATGCATGCATCCGTGTGAGCGTGATAGACAGGCCGGAGAGGGTTATTAACAGACGAGGAGGAAGGAACTGGCTGTGGCTGTAAAAAGATTGCGTAGGTGGTCGTTGTGTACTGTACGGACAGCTGCGGCTTAGTGGGTGTTTTAAGTGTAATGTGCGAGCATAATATAATTACACAGGTATGGGAAAAGCTCAAAGATATGGAGGGATCCCACTGTGGAGACGGGTGGGCATGTAAGCTGCATGAACGTGCACAAGTGTGAGCATATTCAAGCCCACATGTAGAGTCAGGCAAGCTTTGATTCAACTCCTGCCAGGATGTAATCTGGCGCACTGGGGGGGTTAATGTATCCCATGGTGTAACACTGAGTCACACAGAGATAGACCCATAGGAGAAGTGGACAGCACTGTGTGAATTGCATGAAGAGTAAACCGCTCGATGCATCTACCAAGTTTGGATATTAGCAGGGTTGTCAGGATACCAGATTTTTTTAAATTTGATATGATATTAGTAAAAAATATATCGATACCTGTTTCCATATGACAGCAAGATAAATATAAGTCCTAGGCCTTAAATATTGGGTTACTTCTTCTTTATAATTACCAAAAATGACTAATAAGCTCCTACAAATTTGCAATGTTTCAATACCGAAACTTTGCCAACGTATCTATGCAATTCCGACATTGTCACTTCCACTCCACTGTTCTCTGTTTGTAAGAGACATAAACATGACCTTTGGTTTTGTTTAGATGACTGAAGTTTTAGTCTGTAGTTTTCTTAAAGCCACCATACTATTTGATACTATTGAACATGAATACAAATTGAGATTTATTGTTTTAAGACACGTGGTATGAAAAAAAAAGAGTATAGCAGAATCTGAATTTTGACAAACCACAGTATCAGTAAAGGACCTTGTTGGGGCTGCTGTGACTCAATGGTGGAGTTTGTCAGAGTGTCAAGACACTGAACCCTGAATTGCTCTAGTTGGGCACTTTACATAGCAGCCTCTGCCATCAGTGTAGGAATGGGTGTGAATGTGACCTGTAGTGTAAAAGCAGCGTTGAGTAGTCTAGAAGACTAGAAAAGTGCTATACAAGTCCAAGTCCATTAACCATTTGTTGCCCATTGATACTGTCCCACCCATGTACCACCTTTCAGAAACACCCAGATGTTTCAAGGATAAGTGTGAGCAAAAAGGAGTGTCATTGAGCCATCTTAAAGTATTTAGACAATAACCGGAGCACTTAAGAAAAAAGGTACAATTAACATTCCTCATAGTCAAACAATGAAGAAAACAATTCTTATGGTGTTGATCCGCTGCAAAAACTACTAAGGGATGTCTGCCTTGAAAGACCCAAAAACAGTGGTTAATTTAGGAACAAATTCTCACGCTATTGTCAAACAAAAAGCTTACAAAAAGAAGCTAATATAGTAGTATGTGATGAGTATACTGATATTATTGCATGTGATGAGTACATTGACATTGATATTATGTTCAGTAATGAACTCTCGAATAATATGGTCGTAAGAGGTAGACTAAATGGACAATGAATTGACTACTGTGATATTAAGGACTGTAATGAGTATCTTCATGAAAGACTGGAATGAGACAAAGAAATTGAGTACTTTATCTTTCTTTCTTTATTTTATTTTTTTCTCTATCATTATTCAATGCTATTTCTTTATTCTGTACTGTGCCAACAATTGAGATAAAAAAATTTAAAAAAGCTAATATGTCACTGAATATCATGTTGCTTCAGCTTGACTTTCATAAACCACAGAAGAGATCTTTATTTGATGGGACTATTGTCATACGTGGTCCTCATATTTCATAGTAAAAGCAGAACATAAGCAAAAACCCACGAGATCAGTTGGGACTAACCGTACAGGTTTTTTCAGTGAAGTAACTATTTCCTCTTGGTTTATGTGTTGATGGGAAGTTAAATAGAAGTGTCAACATACTGTGGTTTGTTGTTAAGACGACTGCTAATGTTGATATAGTCATTTGTAAATGAATTTCTCCATGGAGACAATAAACTCTAAAGTCTAAAACAGTCAGAGATAGTGGCAAAGTGCGCTGTTAAATACAGGAAAAGAAAATAAGAATCATGAACTTGCAAACAGTTGGCAAAACAAGAAAGACACTGTCACTTAGATTAATTTTGGGATTTTCCTCTTGCATGTAAAATAGTTAAGTAAGTCGAGTAATTGTCCAGCCCTTGTGTCATTGGATATATCTAAATGAATAGTGTTTTATAGTGTGTGTTTGTCGATTTCTATTACCAGTCAAGATCTGTGAGAAGCAATAGTTGGTGTTTTCTCAGCTTATACAGGTGACACCAACTCCTCCTCACTACTGAACTGCTCCAGAATAAGAGACAGGAGACGCTGATAGAAGGTGAGGAGGATCTCCTCTCTCTCTCTCTCTCTCTCTCTCTCTCTCTCTCTCTCTCTCGAATATTAATGGAATATGTTTGCATAAAACCCATGGGTGGTTTCAAATTCTTGACCACTTTATCTTTTTTTTTTGCAGCTTTATTAAGTACCAAGAATGTAACTTCAGCAAGTTAATCACTATTGTCGTTTGTATTTTAAGACACTTCACTTTACATACAAACACAGAAAGCTTGAAGAGCCGACAGACAGCATGAGAACATAAAGAGTCTTTGCTTTATCAGGTAAGATTGGCATAAACTGGCAGGTTTCAAAGTGCTGCAGACATATCAAAACTTGTTAAAAGCCGTTTGTCCCAACTAGCTTTTATAGAGGAACAGCTGTATTTACTTTAGACTGTACAGATGCACCCAAGGGGGGCTCGTCGCCTGCTGTCAGTCATATGTCTAGAAAATGTACCCTTCCTTGATTGATACTGCAGAAAAGGGTACTCAGTATAAAAGGCGCTGTTTTCATTGTGCAGGGTTCATTGAGTCCACATTGTAATGTGAACTAAAAATACAGGCGCATATCTTAAAACCTCCATCTAATTACTACAGCACAGGGAATTCTTCCTCATGGACAAATCAGTAGAGCAAAAAAAGGATATTCTAACCCTGATCCTCTGCCTGAAGGAAAGTGAAGTCGATCCTGAAAAGTGACTAATCATCAGGTTTAAGCACACACTGATAATAGAGGGTAATGATCCTCAACCGGCACTGTAATGATATCCCGATACACTGATTACAGAGACACGTCCTTTGAGAGTCACTTTCTCCTGGTCCTCTGCAGGACGCTGCAAACACTGGACTACGCTTGAAAGCCTCACAGTCTGTGTAGGTAAACATTGAACCTAACACCTTTTCATCACATGGCGACAGAGTGCAAGAAAGTAACATTGTGACTCAAAATAATAACATTAAATGGTGGAAAATGTAGGAGCAAGGGAGTCAGACTTGAGGTAATCTGGATGAGTAAAGGCTCACAGGTAAGAAAATAAGATAATTGTAAAGCCATATAAATAAATGAAGGAGGGGGCATGAAAAAAATAATGAGTAAGTGGAGACAAGGAGGGATGTTAAGATCCCAAGTGAGTTTTGTCTTTCAACTGGAGCCTGAAGGAATGTGCAAGAACCAGATTGCAACCCACTTCTACGATTGCCAGAGCATGCAAGAAGAGCAGGCACCTGAGCAGTGGGAGGGCGGGATGGGAGGAAGGAAGTGAAGAGGGCGACGTGGTTGGATGAGGGAGGGAAGGTAACAAAAGAAGCTTTGTTTTCCTGGTTTCCTTGGACCCAAATCAAAATTGAATTCAAAAAGAAAACTGGTTGCCGTGGACATACTTTTAGAGGATCAATGTCGGTATTATTGATCATTTTTCTTCACATATTCTTGCGGACTACATTTCTTGGACAGTATTTATGCGATGACTCAATCAATGAATCACAATTAAATTCCTCTCCTATCCAGAGGAGTATGCTGTACTTATTGGATGGTTGCAGTAAAAGTATAACGAGGCGCAACACGTTTCAGGAAAAGGGAAGAAAATGCACAAAAAAGGCCCAGTTTGAAAGAAAAGTTTTACGAGGTTGTTTAGTGGGAAAGGTGATTCTTAGGATTGTATGTGAATCATAGCAAATAGAAGCTTTGTTCGATGGCCGCTCTCTGAGTGGTGTTTACCTCAGAAACACAGTAGAGTTCAAGAGCACTTCAATTTCCGCAGCACATTTATCACCAAACTGTTTCTTTATTCCAGTGTCAGAGCTCGACAAGTCTCACAACGTCTATAAAACTGTCTGTGTACATGGACTGAATACTGCGTGTTAGAGGGAGCACTAAAAGAGTGATAAAGTTACTGAAAAGAGTTTGTAAGGCTGAAAGGAATGTCTGAACACCTGCCAGGTATTGAAACTATCAAATTAGAGTTAAAAGAGTGAGTATTTGTAAAATGTGTCATATGTGCATGTGCAGAAACCCACACAGTCATATTACATCTGTCTCATTATTAAAGATAACATTTGTTTGACTCAATGCAACAATCACGTCAACCAAAACAGTTTTTGTTGGTGTAATTGTTCCTGGCAGCCTAGATTAAACGGTTAAACCGCCTCTTTCCCAAATGCTTGGACAGAAATTGGGAAAAGGGCTTTTGGGTATTCTGCACCCTCAGCCTGGAATCTGTGGCAGAGGGACTTAAAACTCAAGGATCTGGTGTCCTTAAATGTTTTTAAATCGAAAATGAAAAGACCTGGAAGCAGATTCTATGCTGTTGATACTTTTAGCTTGACTGCTTGAACTACTCACTCCCAGATTTGACTCACAGATGGTTCTCTTCTAATGCAAAATGTAGTGTTTTGTAAATTGAACTTTGTGTCTCTGTCTGTAACTTTGTGTTTTTTGCAGCTGACTGTCTCGACCAGGTCTCCCTTGGAAAAGAGGTTCTTAATCTCAATGGGACCTGGTTAGAAAAAATAAAACTTTAACGTCCAGACTAGAACATCTCAACACTGGCATGAATTGTTGTGTTGACATGAGTAAGGATGTTATAACAACTTATTTCCCTGTCGATCACACAAACATTCAAAATTTAGACTACTCGACAAAGTAAGAAAACACTCAAATTTAGCACAGTTCATTTAAAACGGCAAAACACTGCCCAAAACCATATTATATGTAACCTATACATTTGCTATTTGAAATTGGTCATGGTAACGTTGTTGTTTTAAATAACAGGAGGACATCCGTTAAAACCATAAAGATTCACATTCATCTCCTGCAGGGCCTGGTTAATTTACAGGCCAATTATCTCGTGAATAATCTGTGGGCAGCAGTCTGGTTTGAGAAAATGTAATTGCTATAAGTATCTAATTTCATTGTTTCATTGTTTAATACAAACAGAATCAACAATCAACCTGGATAAAAAGTTACAGTTACTTTCAGTGCTAAAAAAGTAGCTAAGATTCTGCACAAAGAATTAAACTCCCTCATGTTTCTTGTCTAATCAGCGTTTGTAATCCTCCATCTGAAGCTCAGCACACACACTGTACATTTCTGGTCAGGCACATAAGCACATTTGGCCATGACAAACCTCACTGAGTCACAACAGACGGTAACAGTTGCCACTGTGCTGCAGAGAAAGAAAAGAGCTCGGGCCAATGTTTCAGCCGTATGGGAAAATTATTGTTTGCCCTGGGGAGGAGAGGAGAGAGAGGAGGAGGGGTGGGGGGGGCAGCAATGATGGCTCTACAAGATCAAAACAAGAGGAAATGTGCACATTAGCATGACTGTCCTCTCCTGCTGTAATATGCTGGACGATAACATGAAAGAGTGCAGTCCACATGTACAAAAGGCAGATTATATATATAGACGTGTTTATATACATAGAGAGGCAGTGGATTTAAAGAGGGACAAAGAAGACACAATACAGTCGCATAACTAAAGTATTGTCCCGTTTTAGTGCTGTGGCTTCCTCAATCACATATTCTGAGTAATCTTTTCCCCAAATCTTTTGATGACCTCGCTCTGCTCACTTTGCAAAAGTCTGAGTCTGAGCCTGTCTGAGGGTCTAGTTTTCTCATCTCCTTTTTCCTAAAGAAAAAACAACACAGAGAATAGGCGAGACATGGATAGGGAAAACAAGAGGACAAGAAGGGGCTTGTGTCACTTGGCTGATAATGCCCACTTCCGTTTTCTGTCCATCTGTAACGGGTGGATCGGGGCTGCAGCGAGTGATCAGGCTTTGAGGAAACGCTGCCACAGAATGGAAGACTTAAAGAAGGAGGGCAAAGGGGTGGGGAAGGAGGACATGAAGGCTCTTTTATTCCAGAAGTGCGGCAGTCTTAGCAAATCATTAACTGCTCTGCAAAAATCAAAAGGACTTGGCCTGGGATCTCTGGTTAATGTACAGACTGCTTCTCTTTGTTGTAAAATAACTTTGACTCTCTTCAAACATGTGGATTTTTTTCATGCTTTCAGACAAAAACAGATTTACAACACGCCTAACTTGAAGTCAACCAGCTCAGTGTCATTATAAGAAATTCATTGATTCATTGATAAGACAAAAAAAGACACAAATAATAATGAACAGCTGGAGTGATTTTCAAGAACAATTAGGAAAAACATATTTCTGGTTTTCTTTGTCTTCGACAGTAACTTGAATATATTTCCATTTGGAACAGTTGGCCAGACAAAACAAGACATGCAGATGTGTTAGTGGACTTTTGTGGAATTTTGGTTTCTTTGGGTGTACCCCTAAACATAAATAAGTCTTTTGTTAGGAACAGTATGAACTCTAACACACTATACTATCAAATGTTATCTAAGTTTATTTAATACATCATCAAGGAGAATGTCAGTCCAATTTAGTTTCCTACTCGGGCTATGCTGCCTGCATGTATATTATATGAGGCTAGCACATTACATCTTTGATTGTCCAGTGTTTCAAATCCAATGTTCAGCTTTCCCACAATTCTCCTGCCTCAGTTTAAACTAACCTGAATCCACTTCCTTATGGAAATCAGCTGGGACTTGTCCAAATCCGAAAACCAACTGTAAATAGATTAACCACATAATTAAAATTCTATTTCCACGGGATTAAACACCAGTTGTCAGCAAAGCTGCTTTCAAAGAAACAAGGGGTGGGGTAGTAGCTGCTTACAGGAGTAGCAGCTGTCAAGATGATAACGTCTCTCTGCTAAGGGAGGAAATGGGGGAGAAAAAAAAAAAAGAAACACCCATCCAAAAAACATAAACAGTCCGTGTCAGCCAAACTCATCCACATTAGGCTCGTAAACAGGGATTTATGAATGGGAACAGGGATAAAAGGTGGACAATGCTGCTGTGGCTGTGGTGGGCTTCGGCTCACATACAGCGCATATGCGGCCTGATGAATCAAAACAGGTGCTGTTACAGCTCCATTTTGAATTTCGATGGATTGTTGGCTCTAATTTCTGTGCGCAGTCAATTAACTCCGTCTTCCTGGAGGATTATTAGTCATGGGAAAGTCAGCAATGAGGCAAATATTTTGTGCGGGTTGTAGCAAATCGTCAACAAACGCAGCCCTGGCACACACTGAGTGGCACTGGCCGAATGAAATGTGGGAGCTACGCTGACTGAATGGCCTGTGCAACAATGAAATACAAGTCATATTCTAAAAGGGGGGTATTTTACATTGTGTGCAAAGCACGCGTAGAGGAAATTACGCATAAACAAACAACAAGTCCTGTGTGTACTATCGAGATAAACCCACATTTCTCGTATTAAAACGTTACAAGCCGTAATTAACTCACCTTTGACGCGTCTTGAGATGCAGCCCTAAAATCAGAGACGCGCAGCGCGGAACCGTGTTAAATCCGTATGGCTGTCCTCATTAGAGAAATAATGGAAGCGGATGGCCAGTTGCTGTGGAAACCTCGGGCCAGCCACGAATCCCATTTATTAGAGAATTTCGGCAGTATCGCAGGAAGGGGAGGTCATGGCGAGGACTGCCTTTAGGAGCAGAGGGCACAGCTGCCGAGCGGCTGCGGTGGGCCGGACAAACACCAGACGTACGGCGAAGGAGCCTGTTCAGCTGGGCAGAGAGGACGGCGCGGCACATTCACGCGAGGAAGCAAGGAGTGGTGTGGTGTGGAGAAGACATGCCTCGTATTGGGGGGGGGGGGGAGGCACGGAATAGTGCATCACTGACGAAACACGAGAGCGCAGATATGATGAGCGCGGACTGTAGGCTACGTCTATTACGCAGCAGCGGTAGAGTCAAGAGGATTCACGTCGTGTTGCGTAACTCGACGCCGTAACAGTGGAAATCACCGAGGCGTTGGCAGCAGGCGTATCATACACTCGGTTAGCATCTCTTTCTAATTTGTTGACAAGGTACAGAAGCCATTTGTGTTGTGGGGAGTAGGTGAAGCGGCACGACCCAAATGTAGGCTACAACTGATGGACTGTAATTATTGGCTACAGCAGGAAAAAACGATCTTGTCATCTAACTAGAACAGGGGTGGGCAACTGGCGGCCCGGGGGCCACATGCGGCCCCCATCAAACCCTCAACGTGGCCCTCAGGCCAATTTTTACATATCAATCAATTAATTGGCAACATGAAGAAAACATGACAAAATCTGCCATGAAATCATGAAAACCAGAAATATGTCCATAATAATATTTGATCATATGTTGAGTTACATTTGAGACATAATTGACTGTAATTGTTTTTTTTGTATGCTACAATTTGGCCCCCTGGCAGTGAGAATTAAATGATGTGGCCCTTGCTGTGCACGAAGTTGCCCCTCCCTGAAGGAGCCTCATCGTACGCTTGCAGAATTCGTTGACTTCCTTGCTATAAACGGTATCTTCTCATTGGCACATTAATATTGAAATTCAACCATTAATGCAGCTTCACAGGTCACCCCCCCCCCATACTTTATTAAAGTCAAGATATGTTGGCCTACTCCTAAAACATGACTAAGACAACTAAGCATCGGAAGTTGTTTAATATTTGTTGACGTTTTAACCTGCATAGCCAAACTAACACTGTCCTGCAGTTTTATCATTTAGATTTTATTGCTAAAAATACTGATATGCACATTATTTAATTACTTTATACTACACAAGTCTTTAGCTAGAAAGTAATTCCATCATCTAGGCTGCCACACTTCCCTAAATGACTTCTAGTGCTTTCTTAATTGAATTCTGATTTTGAGTTATTCTGGCTTTATGGGTAGCCTTCGTTTCTTATTTAAGGGTTTGATAACACCTTGATAAAAAAAGATAAAAGCCAATATGCAATAATCTAAATAGAAAACCTGACTTGTATGGTTTTATATTATTATTACTTACCTTTTTATGGATTGTATAACCAGCATGTATGCAACACTATTTGCTGATTATCATCTAAATGTCTACAAACCAAAATCCATTCTTGAATATACCTAAACTGCAAGGAAAAGTTTATTCTTGACACACAAAACTGCAGCATAAGTAGGACACCATTGATCTAGTCTGCCCTTCAAAGTGAGTAAATGAAAGGATAGGATTGAGCTAATTCCACATAATTTAAACTAATCCAAATTCAATTCAATTCAGCCATAAATAAGAACAGGCCATATGAATGACTACATAAGGTATTTATTTATTTAACTGTTGTAATCCAAAAGCAATTCAATTACTTAAAATGTATAAAAAAAGAATAAAATCACATTTAACTGAATAAACAGTTGTCAATAAGCTTTTTGTGAAACTGTGTTGATTGTGTAGCCTTGTTGTATTTCTGAAGTATGTCAAATTAATTGCACAGAATTATTCATTAATGTGGCATGTAGTGAAAATAGTTTTGGAAAATGCCAATGTTGACTCAAAGATGACTAAACACACATTCACACAAGCATGTAGCAATCACACACACACACACACACACACACTCAGCATAGTTTATCGCTTCTTTTTGCTCTCCTTCTTTGGTTTCTGTCGAATCTGTGGTGCTGGTCCTTTAGGTTTCTTCATCTGTTCAGTGACTTTGCCATCAGTGGACTCAGTCTCTTCCTGTAGAGCACAAACAGGAAATATTAAACACCCTGTAATTTCAAAACAAATCCTCTGAGTCATTTTAATTATATGACTGGGAGGCATAATTAGACGTGTGTTTGGGAGATTTCTTTGGAGTCTGCTTTTCTGTCAGTTGCGCTCTCATACATATCATTTCTTTTGTTATGTCCTAATACCATTTCTGTTTTGTTCTACACTATGGCATAACAAAATAATATGTGATGTATATATTTTCACCTCTCAAAAATTGCTTGCACTCTGTTAACAGATCTCATTCAAACTCAAATATACACACTAAACAAAATAAGTTCGGACACTTCTCCTCTGCCAGTATTGTTTTACCAGCAAGGCAGAATAATAACAGACTTCTGTAAAGAATGAAATGGTGTCTCCCGTTGAGATTGCATCTGATGACAGTGTCTGAAAATGTAATAACTAAGCAGTGCCAGTGAATTTAAATAATCAGACAATCGCTAGAATGGAGATTGTGAGAGTAGACCTTGGTGGTTATATTTCACTACCAGCCGAAGTGACACTACATCAAACAAGTCTACTTCACTTGAGATATCAGGAAAATGTATGTATTGCATCATACGTAATTGGCATCCTTAATCATTTCATTTAAATAATATCTAGCTGCATACATTAATGGTAGGCTATGTGCACTGACCCCGATTCTGGATAAGAAAAGTAAAGCACACAACCCTCCTGTTAGTTCGATTTTTGTGTGGACTTTCAACCAAGTTCAATCCTTTTCTTGGTGTGTACCTACGTGTTCATGTCCCTTGGATATGGGTAAGATGACAGCCAGGATGCAGATCAGTTGAAAGATGGCACCCAGAAAGAGACCATAGCGCAGCAAGCTCTCTAAAAAGGTGGGCTCAGGGACCTCTGGAGGGGACAGATCCAGCTCTGCAGTCATGATGCTGCTGAAAGTCTATTCTGTCTGTGCAAACATCAGGATCAAGGTAAGCATGTAGAGAAACAACATGTCTTTTGTCCTAGAAAGTTGCAGTGGGTATTTTATCTTGACTGTGAGACAAGTTCCTCTGTGGATTCATCCAAACAACAAACAGCCTCGTAGACGTGGATAAAATGCAGTTTCTTACCTTGCGTATGACAAAAAATGACAACATAGAGATTTATATCTTAACATTCTAGTTTTAGTTACCTCATGTTTATATTTACAGTATATGGTTACAACGCAGCATCATGCAACGTATTCTAGTAAATCATTGTGGCTATCTACTTCAATGCAGAGATATCACATACGGAAAATAACAAAACTGTGTGACAGAAAGCTTACCAGCTGCAGGTGTAATTCACTCGTCTGTATCGTAACAGGTTAACATCAAATATAAAGCACAAATATCCACTAAGCTTTGTAAAGGAAAAAGCTTATAAGCTCAGATAGCACAGGAAAAAAAAACACACATATCAGTGGAACGGAAATGACATCACAAACATTCACCACACTTCCTGCATCCGAGATTGATTTGAATGTGGCGCTCTCTAGCGTTTGTTGTTTGCTAAAGCGCTCAGCTGGTGAATTTAACTAAAACAGATGTTTAAAGTACCAGAATTATGTTCAAACAATGTTTTCAACTATCAAAACCTTGGAGGTGAGTCTTCTGAGTGAGAACTTCTAAATGTAATATGAAACATGTGTAATGTAAGTGTATTTTTACTTTTTTATTCATGTTACCCACACTGCCTTGTGGCCATTTGGTATTCACCATAAAAAAACATGCATATGTTACTTGCAGACGATGAACTTTTTCAGTTAAGAACATAAAATAAATGATCTTTATGACAGGAAATACATTTTAAGGACAGTCAGGTGAAACAATGATTAATATAAACAGTTTTTCTTTAATGTAAAATATAAAATACATGTTCTCAAGCAGCAATGGTCAAACAAAGATACAAGCTGTTTGCTTAGGCTACAGTGTATGGGAATATTACAGGCTTACAGTGCTGACTTGGTTTAAATGTAACATTTTTGAGTGAGTTTGGAAGGTGGATATTGCCCCATCTTCTAACATACTCAGAATTTGCACAGAAGCACATTGTCATCTTGAAAATAAAAAATCTATATAGCTCTAAATTGACTTTATGGATTACCTGGACAGTCTTACTTAACTTTTTTTTTTTCATTAAAGAATGTATATTTGTAGGACATCAGTGCAGAATTCGATCTCCAGGATCAATCTCCATTGTGACCCTTCAGATCTCTTCTTATGATGTCATTCACTAAAAAAGAAAAATAAGGAAGAACAGGTTTGAGTGAGTTTTTATTTGAACAACTACAACAGCTGACTATTTTTATTTTATGTAATGTTCAAAACTACTCATGTTGTTTTCTCGAGGTTTCATATTTGTCATTTTTATACCTAAAGCCCCTTTCTGAATACTTAGTCAAACATTTTATTGATTTAATCTCATTCATTCTCAAATAACTTGATAGTTGGAGGGTCGGGAGACAACTACCAGTGGTATTTCTGCCGTTGCATGCAAAAGTAGACCAAGTATTTTCTAGCAGAGAGATTCTTTATGCCACAAAAGGTCAACAGGGTGTGCCTCGTGTTCTTATCATGCATTGACCTGTTCATGGTAGACATGAAATCTCTACAGTGTTTATGTTACATTTTACAATTACACTAAGATCCTCTAGATGGCACAATTTTATCAGTTTATGTGCATGTTCTGGAGCGCTCTGGAACCCCTTTTCCTGATGAAAAAATACCAATGAGGAAAGACAAATAAAAACATAAAGATATCACATTTCATTTTAACTAATTGCTGCTTTTTGTTGACACTATTTATTGTGTGTTTTAATCTTATCTTGTTTTGTCAAGCACTTTTGGCAGCAGCTTTGCGTGAAAGTGGCAATAATTAAGTTTCTAAGTTTAATTTTGATGCTTAGCTAAATTGATTTATAGTTACCCGTTTCATTTTTACTCTAGTCTGCAGTAGAACCAACGACATGGCTGATACAGTACATTTCCTGCTTCTGTCTTTGATCTCAGAGGTGTAAACAGAAACACTGTCCCATGCATGCAGGGTTAGGGTACATGACTAGTTCTTTCACTTCAAGGTGATGTTTCCCGTTTTCAACTAAATCTTCCTAAAATACATGATTCTTT